TGATTTGTAAAATTAAAAGTATAAAATTTAGATAAGGCCATGTAAACTTAATAAATCGGTTCTCATAACAAAATTTTTAAAAGTGACCCGGCAACCCGACTTTTAATTTTATTTTTTTAAAAAAAAGTAATACATAAAAAACAATTTTTTTTAAGTTTGTAAGACCTAATACGTATAAATAAATTAAACAAATTTTTTTAACCAAATATTTTTAATTAATTTTTAATTGTATTTTTTTTTTAAAAAAAATCGATTAATTTATAAAGTTGGAAATAACTTTTAATTTATTAAGTCGTTTTGAATAAATTTAACAAAATATTTAATTTAAATAATTTTGAACGATTCAACGATCACTGAAGGTGGGTATGCTGACTTGGGTAATCGATATCGGTATATTAAATAAAATTAAATGTTCAGCACTCTAAAAAAATTCTAACCTTTATTTAAACCTTAAAATTTAAAATTTGAGATAAAAATTTCCATAGATCATATAAAAAAATTTATGGTGAATTTCACTTTTGGTGAATACTAAATAAATTTAATAATGTTAATTATCAAAATCTAATTACAAAAAAAATTTAAATTATTAAACTTTTAATTCATTTTAAAATTGCTATGTATATACTACAAATATTTACTATAAAACACACCTATGCTGATTGGCACCTATCATTTATTTTACTATGTTTTATAGATTTTTCTAAGTTTTGAATAGAAATTTTTAACGCAAACTTTCATGTTAGGATTAGTATTTAGGGTTAGAGTTAAGGGTTTTTTGGGGCGTAGAACAATTTTACTTAGAACACCCCGTACCAGTTGATTAGCTAGTTTCTGAAATAATGTATTCATAGGTGTAAACTACCATAGATACGTTTTAGTAAAAGTCTACATACTAAATATGTTCAAAATTTTTTATTACTAATTTGCTTTAATACAGTATTTAGTTTACGTAATAAATATATTAACATAATTTTGACACAAGACCAATATTAAAATTTATCAAAATAATTAAAATTAATAAAATATTAGTCAACGATAAGTTATACGTATAAGTTATACATATTTCTATATATAATGAATCTTTCGGTTCTCATAATAAAATTTCCGACAACCCGGCTTTTAATTTTATTTTTTATATATAAAATACGTGTGAAAATTTTTTTAAAAATGTTTACCCAGATAGTAAATATATAAAAAATTTTTTTATAACTGTTATCATAATTCCTTTACCGGATAAAATTGGCCGAATGATTTTTCGGCCGATTCGATTAAGTTTGCTATTTTTGTATGTATCATTTGTATGTACGTATCATATGTATGTATCATATGTATGTAACATGGTGTGAACAAATTAATGATATGATGTCATAATACGTTATAATGGCTGACCAGACCAATTCGACCATTTGACCAGACCAATTTGACCAATGACCAGTCCGGTCAACATTGGTCAAATTGATCAAGTGACCTAGTTATAAGAACAAATTGACCAATTAGGCAAACTTAACTATAATCAAAATTGCTTGATTTGTCTGATTTGTTAATTTGGTTCATACGTATTGCTAGACCATTTGACCAGACAAAAACCCTTTGATGAGGATTCAGACCCTGTTCATATGAGGTCCAATCATCGTTGCGTAAGCCATACTGTGCCACACTAAAACGAATATTTGAAATTTTGCAAAAATTTGATACATTTTGCAAAACTATAGAGCTAAGTATTGTCTTTGCGAAATTAGAAATATTCATTGAATAGCAATTTTTATGTCTTTAGATGGTTTTTATGGGAAGACTGCACTTTCTAACAAATAAACCTTAGCAAAGGCACTGAATATAAATTACAGAATTAGACTTTTATAATAAACATATTACACTAGCATTAAAAAAGACTATACATACAAAATCTTACTTTTATTTTTATATTCAAGTTGAAGTAAAAAACTTCGTCAAATTGTCTTAAGACTAATTTTACTTCCCAAGTTTCATCTTTAACTCATAATCGGATTTTTTTTTAAAACATATCAATCAGGTTTAGTAAACGCAGTTTTTCTAAAGGTGACGGAAGTTTTTATACCTTTAAAAACTAACTTATAGAAGATCTACTAGCATCCAAATGGTTGCCAATTTTTCGACTAATAAAATTTTTTTTCAATTATTTGCTAACGAAGTTGCTTTGAAAGGGTATTCAACCAGAGACATACGTACTTAATAATATTTATATTGTGTCACTGGATCTTAAATTATATATATCAATTTGAATAAATTATGTTGAAATCACGAACATGATAACAGTTATAAAGTTTTTATGTAATTTAACCCGGCCGGCCGGGTTATGAGAACCAGTTTGTATAGCCATAATTTATATTATTAATCTTTATCTTGAAATAATGAAATGTAAAAAGTATCTAGACTAATGGATCATAGTTAATTTTAAGACTAGTCTGGACTAAGTCATAATACTATAGACTGGAATAAACCAAACCAAGACCGGACCGGACCCGGTCTGACCGTTAATATCCTTAAAGTATCTCTTAATATAAGCTACAATAACGAAATTCCCAAACAGCAAATATCGGTTTTTTTTTTTTTTTTTTTTAAAAAAAAGGATAGGTTTAGAATACGTATCGGTATTGTTAGGGGATATTAATAAACTGGTCTATTTTGGTCCGGTCTTGGCCTACAGTTGTTAGATCCAGATTGGTCCGGTTTTAAGATTAAGAGCAGTTCAATATTTTTCAGATCCAGACTGGTCTTAAGACTAACTGTAGTCCATTAGTCTAAGATCAGGCTACATAACATTTCTACGTATTGCATAATACGTATGGCCTTATCAATCAGGAGAGTCTGTTCCGGATTTATTATGTAATATGAATTTATCACAAATAAAAATCCGAATATTAATTTGATAAATTCCAAAATATCACAAAATTTAATCAGATGCACGAGACACTTAATAAGAGGCACATCCATAAATTCATCAGAGCTCCTATGATGAGCCGGTAATTTCTGTTGCATGTGTTTATTTTAGGAGTAGATTGTTATATGGATTCTACATACATATTGTTGTGCAAACTATATATATATACTATATATATATTTTAAAATAATTATGTTTGGTAATCTTACAAAGTCTATTGCACGTGTTGTTTTAGGGATTAGGACATTTATACGATTAAGGCTAAGATTAGGGTCAGGGTTAGAATCATATTAAGGTTAGATGTTTTTTTTAGGGCAGGGCCAGAGTCAAAGGAGATTACAAGAAATATTCTTCCCTGTCAGCAAAGTGGTTATCGGTAAAATTGATAGGTGGAATATTCTGTCGGTAAAACCGAATTGGTGAGATTGAGTCAAGAAAATGTACTCAATCCGTTATTTCCCTATTAATCTATCAATCAAAGATTTGAAGAATGTAAGAATTTAGGAATATAAGAATGCCAGACAAAACCCTATTGTATACTTTATAAGAACAGGTTTGACTTCCGGAATTAACAATAATTACTTGATCAATCTCTTTATTATGCATTGAGATAAATGATATTATCGTTATGAAACTTTTCAGCTGACAATACAACCGAAAACAAATCGCGCGATTATATATGAAACTCAAAAACGAAGGAATTTCAGGTGATAGAGATAGAATTGGAATTGAGATCGCATGTTGTTCCATGAAACAGATATTTATTGCACGAAATAAGAACCGTAATATTATTGATGTTAATAGTGAGAAAACTTTCAATATTGTCTATTCACTGCCACAGATGAGAGTCCGTCTGTAGATCATGAAACAATCTTTGACAAATAACTAGCAGTAGAGTTGCGCAAGTATGTATGTACGTACAAGAATTAATATACTTATATTAAATACCTTTTGACGATAAATTAGAACAAACCATTTATAAGCAAAGCGCAATTATACGACAATAATAATAAACTATTGAAAGCAAAACACACTTCTACGACATTCAAGGAAATTCATTACGTAAGGATTCTATCTTCATGGTCAACTTAAATAATCCCTAGATCACCAAATAAGATTAACGCTAATACCTAAGATTATACAGTCACGTGATTTGACACTTTCTGGACAATCATTACTGAATAATAGTTGCGCGGGAAGAAATGACGATAATGTTTCACATACTGTATCGATATGTAAGTACGTACATACTAACATAAGCACGTCTACATCGGCTCTAACATTGACCCGCAATTAAAAAAAAAAAAAAAAAAATTTTTTTAAGAATTCCTTATAGACGGCCGATATTTGACTTCATGCCAAATTCCTATATACGTACGTACGTACTAATATCACAATCTCGTTACCTATGCGCCATTTATATGTACCAAATTATATCAGTTATTCGATTTTGTAGTTGAGGGTTTTAGAGAAAGTCATTAAATGTAGTTATTATCTGCCCTATTGTAACAACTCATAAATAAAAACATCTTCATTGTTTTCCCGGAATTCGGCCTATTCTTATTATCACATATCATAATCGTAAAATGTGACTGTTTCACCGCATTTAATTTCCAACATTGTCTAACATATATACAAAAATAAGTTGAAAAAAGCTATAGTGATGCCTATTATGTGTCAATAATATCAGCTAGATGATCAATTATACAAACTTTAAATAGTTTACAATATATAATAATGGCAGCATTAGCTCATTGCTTTGATTACACCTTAGTTTGGTATATTATTGCAGATTATTTCCTAATTTCGGCAGAAGGAAAAAATGTATTGTCGTTGTGTGTGCATCTACATATTATTCAGGAAATTGGCTGTATATATATACTATGCGTTTTCAGATTCCTATATATATGCACCAGTTCTACGCCTCCCCTGAAATCCATCATATCTCTAAACTTACCAAATACTTTTTTTTTTAAAAACTTGATTTTTTTTTTCTTATATAATTTATTTCTTATATAAATCTCTTCACAAACAACAACTATACATAATTTTACAAACTACAACTTTACATAATATAACAAACATGGGTAATTCAAACTCATCTCGAAAATTGTCCCGCAACAAACTTTCAAAGAAAAAATCCTTACAAAAGTTAACCAGTTCTGATTCTACAAAACAACAACAAATATGGAATCCGTCTTTAAATTTTCATATACCAAAGAATGAACAAGATATTGATAGAATGCAGGCTGAACATTTTTTATTCCAACATATCTGGAAGTGTGACTTTTCTCCTCCAATCGAGCAAGTACTTAAATCTGGTAATGCAAAAGTACTAGACATTGGGTATGTTTTTTTTTTTCCTCCCTAACTTGATCCATTTGATCTACTCGATTTGTGCCAATATTAAAAGTTTTTTTTTTCTTACAAAAAAATAGCTGTGGTCCCGGAACTTGGCTCCTAGCTACGAGCCTGAAGTATCCATTAACACAGTTCTATGGAATAGATATCGCATCAGTATTTCCTAAAGAAATCAAACCAGAGAATTTAGAATTCATCCAATCAGATCTCACTAATGGTATTAGATTCAACGATAATCATTTTGATTTTGTACGGATGAATCTTATGTCAACATGTCTTCAAGAAGATCAATGGGTTCATGTTATGGAAGAGTTGGTACGAGTATTAAAACCTGATGGTTATATTGAGATAATGGAACCTGAATTCCAATTTTATAATATCGGTCCTTATTTTTCTAAATTGAATTCATGTTGTAAGTATTATTTTATTATTTTTAAAAATTTGTATACAATCTATACGCATTCAGAATAGATTCTAATCAGTTAAATTTCTTATAATCCTTTATAGTAATAAATTTTATATCATCAACGGGTGCCAACGTTTATATAACGCAAAAAATCGAATCACTACTCAATATGTCAAATTTCCAAGCTTCGTCATCTCAAACAGATATAAATCTAAGTAACACATTGTCAAAATTAACTGACATTCACTCTGACACACGAACAATTCCAATAGGTGGTGTTCATGGTTGTAAAATCGGTAAAATTTATGAAGAACTCTTAGGAATGTATTTCGAAAACACCGTTGTTGATGTATTACCTTGGTATATGGGAATGAGCCGCGAGAATTATCTGGAATTGTGGAAATTGTGTCAAGAGGAATTTAAAAATTATGCAAGTTTTACGAATTTGGTTAAGTTTTGGGGAAGGAAAATTCCTGAATAATTTTCTATGCACATTAAAAAAAATTAAGACATTTTCTCACTCTAGTGAGAATTAAAATTTTGTATATACCTATATGAACATTTCATTTTAAACATACCACTATACATCAAAGAAATGGAAGGGTTGTTTAAAGTGTTGTAGAAATTTTTCTTTTATGATTATCACAATTTGTATAGTTTTTTTTGTAAAACCAAGTAGTTTGTGTGATATATGTCATAGTCATTTTATATTTATGATTTTTCCCTTTGAAAAATAATAATAGTCTTTATATTTGGAAGGAGCTCTTTGTGAATTAGATGTCTCTCAATAAGATAATGCATACCCATTTCATTGTATTCATTAAAAACGCTGCCTGTATGATATGCATTATATATATACATATATATATTGATAATTAACTATTTTATATCAATATTATATTTATATATATATAGTATATCGAAAAATAAAAACAGACACGTAATAATTAAATTAAAAAAAAGAAAATAAATATTGATTATTTACTTTTCTTATAAAAAATTCATAGCAAGTATTATATTATATAATTATTCAATGTTATTTCAATTTTATATCGTTTGTTCTTTGAACATAGGTTCTTCGATTAAAGGTAATTTTAGGAATGTTATCTAGTTAACTTTAAGACCAGTCTTGAACTAGAAAAGGTTGGTCTGTTTTTAGACCAGTTTGAACCAGTTTGGACTCGTTAAGTCTCAAGAATATAAATTATTAACAGCTGACCAGGACTAAACTAAAATAGACAAACAAGACTGGTCCAGACTACTGTATAATCACTTTTTAAACACATACGAACTGAAAAAAAGCCCCACAAAAAAAGTAAGTTTTTAGTACATGGAAGTTTCTGATTATAAGTATGCTGGTTTGCATTATTCATAAAAAATAACACTTTTATTAGACAAATATATCAGTTACGTTATGTAAATCTTTTACTACATATAGTTATAGTGCTTATACGTATACGTATACTTATATGTACAATAAAAACTTTGCTATATCGATATATATAATACACTGTAAATTAGTAATATCCGCTATGTAGATCTTACCCGGGTCGGGCATTACTTGGGTTACTCGTGTTTAACCAGGTAATGACTAGAACTATTCGGGTAGATAATACTCAGGATATACTGAACATGGTTGTTTAATTTAACTAGGTCCTAAATATTTTACGTAGTAATAAACATGTCATTATTATATAGTTAAACTAAGTAATTAAATAAAAATAATTCAAGCATAAATCAAAAATAATATATAATTAATTTTTATATAGGTAATTTGATCTAATATTATGTTTAAAATTTTATTTAAACTAAAATAAATTTAAGGTTAGAGTTAGCCTTAAGTTAGAATAAGAAAAGCAATATATAGTCAGATTTCTTTATAGTCATTTTTTTTATAATTACATTTGCTTATAATTATATAATTTTTTTTTTTTTAATATTGTTATAAAGTGGAAGCCTTCTTATTTCCACACTACAACAATGACATGGCACAAGGACTCTATGCAGTGTCCAAGAGGAAAGTATAGTTCCTGTTAGATGTTGTCAAGAAACTATACCCATCTCTGAGGCAGTTCGATAATTATTACAT